TGTATACTCACAGTGGACCATCTTTAATTGCCTGTGTGGTCTACTGCAGTCCATTTATATCTCCTACAATTAATTACCCCAAGGTGTATCATGTTGACCTTTCAAATCTTCCTAACTGGACGCCTATTATCACATATCCATCTCCTACTCACTTAGCCCCATCTTTAATAGGAGGTAGATTCAATATCTAAAATCAGCTCATCCAAATTCATTAGGAACATGTTAAAATAGGCCTTCATTAAATTTGTCTTTCCAGGATATCACATTTTCTTGATGTTAAAGATAAAAACAAAATGTAAATTGATATAAAATGATGCCTATAGGGGACAAATCTTCAATGGAATTTAATTAAAGGATTACAGATGCTTAATGCATGTAGGTACTACTAGGTATAGGTAACACTTGGCTTATTATTTCTACTGAGGTTGTGCTTTCCATGATAAAACTTCATCATCGATGAATTCTGAATAGAAATAATGTCATGTTTACACAAGAGGGGCTTGTGGAATGTATAAATGATGAAAAACTTACAATTTTATCCATTATCGCTGTCTGCTTTGAGTATTTTTAATGACATAATTTTTTTAGAACGACATGGATAAGCTCGGGTAAGCTCCCTTTTACAACCATTTAATTATTTTCTAATACTACTAAATAACTTTATATGCTATAAGCTGGCCTCAACTGAAACATTTCTATTCAATCAATACAGGTTATTTGTTAATCATTGTATTTAGTACTCAGCTGAGAACTATACTGCATCTTTCTAGGACATAACCACTGGTGTCTGGTGAGCTGGTGCTAGACTTATAATGAAATCTGCAGTACGATTGCACTGTAAGTGGAGACTTGAGACTGTAGAGAAAGTCCCTGAACACTAAATGAAAAGCGATCATTTCCAAGAAAGTTAAAAAAAAAAAAAAGTAGTCACAGATGTCCAGAATACATTTTTGGATAGACAATGTATGTGTATGTCATTTAGGCCTACATAATACACCAATATGTTTGTCATACATAAAATACACATTGACATTTTTATACTAGCATTATACTTGTACATGTATATGGCGTATTTAAAAATTGTATCAAATTCAACTCTATGGTGATACAGATATGTTTTTTTTAATTCTCAGGACTTGACTCCAGTAAACTTTGCTGTTAGCGTTCGTCTAATGTGGAATTTATCTTTTTTTTAAATACCAAACAAGCAAAATATCACATATAAATACATTTTAGTATATCCCACAGCATGTGGGCTAGAAAGACACACAGTCTTACATCAATAATACAATATGTCTTTAGGCCTGGCATACTAAAGTCAGCATTCATTTTTTGTACGCTGAGTGGTATCAAGAAATAATCCAGATGGTTTAGGAACTAAGGAAGGTCAAGTGAATACCACCCCTTCCCCACCACCAATCCCCCTCACCAATCCCCTCCCCTCCCCACCACCAATCCCCTCCCCTCCCCACCACCAATCCCCTCCCCTCCCCACCACCAATCCCCTCCCCTCCCACCACCATCCCCTCCCCTTCCCACCACCAATCCCCTCCCCTCCCCACCACCAATCCCCTCCCCTCCCCACCACCAATCCCCTCCCTTCCCCACCACCATCCCCTCCCTTCCCCACCACCAATCCCCTCCCCTTCCCACCACCAATCCCCTCCCCTCCCCACCACCAATCCCCTCCCTTCCCCACCACCAATCCCCTCCCCTTCCCACCACCAATCCCCTCCCCTTCCCACCACCATCCCCTCCCCTCCCCTCCCCACCACCAATCCCCTCCCTTCCCCACCACCATCCCCTCCCCTTCCCACCACCACCATCCCCTCCCCTTCCCACCACCAATCCCCTCCCCTCCCACCACCAATCCCCTCCCTTCCCCACCACCAATCCCCTCCCTTTCCACCACCAATCCCCTCCCCTCCCCACCACCAATCCCCTCCCCTCCCCACCACCAATCCCCTCCCCTTCCCACCACCAATCCCCTCCCCTCCCCATCACCAATCCCCTCCCTTCCCCACCACCAATCCCCTCCCCTTCCCACCACCAATCCCCTCCCTTCCCCACCACCAATCCCCTCCCCTTCCCACCACCAATCCCCTCCCCTCCCCTCCCCACCACCAATCCCCTCCCCTCCTCCTCACTCTACCCTCACTCTACCTTATCGATCCCCTAACATACCATCAGCTTTTAACAGATGTACATATGAACAAACACCTCTAAACATGTAAACAAGTACCTTGATTGTATACAAACAATCTATTGGATGGTACATCCACGGTACATCCACGGTACATCAGTGGTACATCCGTGGTACATCTATGGTACATCCCACAGATTGGCAATGAATGACTTAACAATCAAACTTCTCACTCTGACAAAATATCACCATTGCAATTGGAAGAAGTTAGGCTCACAATCAGGTCTGTTACATATATCCATTTATTTCACGCCCCAAAACATTGCAAACACAAAATGAAGCAGTGTGCATTTTACTTAACATTTAAGCATTTAATTTTAATTTATTCCACTTTCCTGTCTCCAGCTCAGAAATTATTATGTAAAAGGAAACTGCCATGAGTCCTCCCTTAAAATACTTTAATAATTAATTAACATAACTTTCTTATTTCAAAATTATAAGGCCCATGTAAAAGGGAAATGTGATCGGCATTTCAATCATCTTAAGGAATCGGCACATGTCTAAAGAAAAGAACCAAATCAGATGTGCTCTTTTTAATATTCTTCTGAGAAATTATAATATCTTGAAGTCGATGAAAAACTTGTTCAAAGTGGGTAAGCATAGTTGCATACCTATATAGATCTCCACTTTTCCTTTAATACAGATCCCCTCCCGACGCACACCTAGATTGGCTAGCCACATTGTATGCAATCTAATTCTAATTAGGTAGTTACTAGCACCCCAGCCAGGCTGATAGAACGCCAAGTAAACCGACGTCGGGCAGCACCGCTGTAGAGGCTCGACGGTCTACCCAAAATGATTAGGCCCTAATAATGCGGCCGCCATTTTTGCAATTCCATATTTTGGACTTGATGAGATGGGGGACAGTGATTAGTAGAGGCGTGACAAGGGGCAGGTTCATACTTGGGGTCTGCTACGAGGCAAAAGGTCCAAAAAATGTGAATACATGAAAATGAAAGTACAGGTTTTCTTTTTTTTAATCTGTAAAATGTCCATTATTTCCATAACATTTTCTTTAAAGTCTTCTTCAGCAGAATCAAAGTGTTTTAATAAGAGCAATGACGAAAATCTCAATAAAATATGGCTATTTCTGTAGTAGAACTGATCTATGAAAAATGGAAATCATGGTCTGTTTCTCTTAAAGTAGACCAATTTGACTTACTATTATAATGTAAGGGAGACCCACTTTTCTAATCCTATCGTATCATCTTTTTTTCAAAGATAGAGATACTTGCAAATTAGGCCATGTCAAACCATTTAGCTTCCTCGACATCACAAAGTAACACTAATGAAAACACACACGTGTCCAGTTACGGAGGAGACATGGGCAGCTAGAAATGAGAAGTAGAAACTAATTGATGTCTGTAGATTAGATGAACACATGTTTAGCTGTAATAGACATACCCATCTCCAACTGCTGTCCTTCAACAGACAGATTAGATTGTGTTCAATCTCAAGGCTAGTCATGTTTACAAAAATCTGTTCGATTTTTCCAGGTGTGTCAGATAGGGAAAATGCTTTTGAAAATATAAATGTATCTGATGTAGATTATGACACATCATTTAATTTTTATCCATTTACATTTTCTGTAAGTTATTTCCATTGCTTTTTTTTCAAATTAATATCCATAGACATCCATGTATACTCATGCATCATGAACCAACAAAAAAAGATGAGAGTAGTCTAAAAACTTAAGATTTTTCCCAGTATCATACTTCATCATCAACTTCATCAAGAGCTGAATGTCATTCTCTGTTTATTTTTTTCTTCAAACATTACACCAACTTTTTTTTTGGATCTGCACATCACTCAAAGAATCATTCCTTACCAAATTACTCACATGAGACAGATAATGTAACACTATATACAAGATCATAACTACTTTAGAAAATTAACTCAAGGGCAAAAAAAACGCTATTGTACAAGATGTACATGTACGTCTCATAGAAATCAAGTTCTGATTACGTAGATAATACGTCATTGTCATCTTAGCTCATTTCAAAAGGTGACGCACGAGGCCATTGACATGGCCTTGGGTTGATTTGTCGAAACCAGTTGTGATCATGTTCTTCTTCTTCTTCTTCCATTTTGAGTACATACCTCTTTACAGAGTACTATCGTACTATACTGGGGTGTGTGCAGGTGGACCACTACACCAGGGTTTCCCCCTACTCTTATACGAATAGTGCAGTGGGTTCTTAACATGCAAAGGTATCATGTATCATATAACTTTCTGTCATGTGAGCAAGCTATCTTTAGAAGAGAGCTTCTCACCATCACCCCCCAATAGACCATTTTTGTAATGAAATCAAGTACGGTAATCAAATTAAATACATAAATCTTTGTTAAGTGCCTAAGTACAAATCATTTCATTCATATGATATCTGACTGTTTGTCCATCTTGTATACCTCTATATGCAATTCACATTCTGACTATTGACATACAATTATTCATAACAGGTAAATGAAATACTTTTAAACATTTATTTAAAGATTTATGCATTCAATTTGATTAAATTTAAAAAATGGTCTATTCAAAATGTCATTGGTCAAGCATACAATAAGTACCAAAAATTGGGGAAAAGAACTACAATGTTGCAATAGACTGGTCTACTAACTTATTCAAATTTTATTCAAATTTTATGCATAATAGTTAAACAAAGGTTGTTCTTGACAACCTGAAAGCTTGCCAGAGGCTTGCTTGACATGGCAAAAAATTTGGTAAAATAACTATAAAGTTGTACTAATAGAGTACATACCTGGTGGGCAGTTGCAGGCAGCTCTTGTTTCTCTTCTCTTGATGCTTTCGTGGACTTCTGATGAATTTATCGTCCTGACCTGAAAGAAAAAGGGGTATCATTACGTTTAATTATAATCAGGACAGGAGAAGTCCATAGTATATTGTGACTGCCCCATCTGTCGAAGCCTTTAGTCTCCAATTAACGAGAGGCTGCAGTCCCTAGATCCAATGCTGTTTTTACTTGCACCTTGTCATGTATTGGTACATGCAACCTACCCTTATAACACACACTATACCACAGTTATGCAAGAATCTACAAGGTTGAAGGAAGCAGAGCATACCCATGAAGAAGAAGAAGTATTTTCAAATTATCAACTGAATTTCAATACCCTATTGTATGACCCATAGAAAATATGTTCAGATTGCATAATTGTAATATTCGCAAATTTCAAGAGGTGACACACAAAGCTAATGAAATTGCCTTAGGCCTTAGGGTGTGTTTTTTTTATCAAAAGTAGTTGCAATCTTGTTCCATACACATGAAATAACAATAACACTACATCCAAACCGGTTTGTAGGGCACCCTGGTCCTGCAGACAGAACTCAGAAGTGGCAAGTCATTCCTAATTATCCAAGGAAGTTGTTTACTCTCCAAGGTGTATTTAAACAAGCTTAAACTCTTGTCTACTCTCCCCCTTTAAAACTTACTCAAATCAATTCACCTTATGCACAGTTTGTCCAATGTTAACATTCAGAGTTTTGACAGGCGAAACCATATCACTGTAGACATTGCCAGCGGGTAACCGCAGATTTCAGCCCCGGTGGTACGGGCGGAAATGTCGGCACCCCTGCGTTCGAACAGAGAACTCGAGAACACTGTGGGCATTATACTCACCGGTTTCTTAGTATTTAATTATAAACCACGAACAAATTACTTTTTGATAAATGCATACTCACATTTTTCTCGATTTCAGTCTTGTGTGCTCCGAGTTTCAAGGCTAAAAATTCCATCTTGAGTTCAGAAACTTGACGATTTGTATGAACCAGATTTGCAGCTAACGCTAAGCACAACACCGTGAGTGATAAACCCCATAGGTAGGCGAAGACGCTTCCACAGGACCAACCTGGTCGCCTTTCATGAGTTTTACTTGAAAAATCAAGGTTATTTCCACTATCCGACATTTTCACTTGTTCCTTGCATCCTCCAGTATCTATGCTTGTATTTGTATGTTCCATAATGAAATATCTCTCGGCGAAATCTCTTAGTAAATTAGTGTATTCCAGACAACAGACGACGCACACGAACACAATAAGAGCGAAATGTAACACTAGAACACGCCGATCAACTGGCATGCATGACTAGCGAAGAAACCGTGATTTGCCTCGATCGCAGGTGCGGAGATCGTCAACGCATAACACACGGAGAAAACTTTCTCGCACACGTGAGCAAATGCAATGAATATGCATGAGTTCGCCCCGCCTACTCGGATGAATATTGGTTTGCAGTAGCGGTGGACACCCCCGCAAGTAAACTCACAACTCAAATGTTCTCATTAAATTTATTGTGAGTCATCTGAATGTGTTAATAAAAGTTGTGTTTATTACCTATTGAAGTATTTTAAAGTATCAAAACACCGCCATGGATCGTTAAAAACGGTGAAACCTAGGTTAACTTTGAACTATTTGTTCTTGCACACTGCTAGTTTTGGCTATCTTCCGACCAGCTTTTGACCAATGAAAAGTCCCGAATGTGTTTCTCCAAAATTACTTACAGCGGCAAATGTGATTATAATACAAGTATTACCAGTTTCTCTATTAAACGAATTATTTCTGGTATCCGATGAAAATTCAATCAATTTTAAAGTAACACATAATACTTAAATGTAACTTTAATTTGTTTATGATTACAGATTTTATTTTCATCGCTTTGTTTTCTTCAGGTAGAGGCCATTATTTCCAAATTACCACCTTTTAACTTTATCCATTATATTTACGACTATAAAAGTAATTTATTGTGTGTATCATTCAGTATCATTGTTACTAAGTTTCTAATAACCGCTTGTAGGCTTTTGATTATGAGCAGAAGGCTAAGATACTCATGCTGTTGCTGCTACTACTTTTGCTACTTCTTCTTCTACTACTACTACGACTGTTGCTACCACCACCACTACTACTACCACTACCACTACCTCTACTGCTGCCACTACTATTACTATTACTACTACTACTACTACTACTACTACTACTACTTCTACTACTACTTCTACTACTACTACTACTACTACTACTACTACTATTACTATTATTATTACTACTACTACTACTACTACTACTACTACTACTACTTCTGCTGCTGCTACTACTGCACCGATACAGCTTGATATATATTATACTTATGTTACTTTTTTAGGAGGCTCTCGCTTTTTACGGAATGTTCTCCAATCCCCACGATATACAATGCACAGTGCTGACAATTTCGGTTGAATATTTTACCGATCGTGCTTTGAGCTTTGATAACTTATTTTTATCATATTACCCGATATCTGGTCCTGATTGCCCAACGAAATTAAGCTACCGATTAGGGGAACGTTTGTTTTTCGTTTGTTTGTATGATTACTTCCTCTTTTTCATATGATATAATTCATTATTTTCTACGCTGTCAGTCGATTACGAGAAATGTACTCATTTGCACTGCATTAAATGGGTCTAGTCACCTGAGGGGTAGCGGTACCCTGGCATACAGACAGCCGCGAGCTCCGGGGGCGCAACCTAACACTACTCCGACACGACGTGTTAAAAGACGCGCTGAATTAGGTCTTGTTCAGGTGCATCGTAAACTACACATGGAACTTTCATCCTTGAGATTTTGGTCCAAGATTTCCGTTATTTTAGCCCGTTTTTAGGAGCGAAGCCGAGTCTTTTCTACCGCACACGCTGCGATGAGAGGTGTGACCAACAGGAAAACAGGTTAGATGGGACTGTAGGGTTATGGTTCAAGGTAAGAAAACCTCCAGTAAAAAAGCTCAACGGAAAGATGTGCCATTCAACATGACTTCCATCTTGGTTTTTAAAAAATATCAGAAATTGTCATGAAGAATCACCGTAATGAGAATTATTCAAGAATATAATACATGAAAGGTCAATCTACATAATACTACTTGGAGATAACACAAAGATAAATCTTACAAAGTTACCCGAGTGAAATCATCGTTTCAAAACTTCAGCGGGAATTCCAGAAACTTCTTTCTCTCTCTTTCTTTTCTTATTTTGGCCTTCTCATTTCCCTCCATACTTCGTGTTTTTTTAGGGACAGAAACATAAAGAGGGTGTTACCGCCCCCCCCCCCCCCCCCCTGCGTACGCGCATGAGTGTAGGTATTCTTAAAATTGAGATGTATTCCTGTCCTTTGATATTCCAATATTCCTTACGAAAATTTACAATAGATATACAAATGAAGATATTAATTGCATGATATGATGCCTTTAAGCATGCCATGGGCGTAGCCATTTTCCATTTTCTTTTAAAATGTGACTTACAGGTGAAGTCGTACATGTATCATGCAAGTAACCTAAAAGTGCCCCTTTTTACATAGGAAAAGTGCCCCTTTTACATTGACAAGTGCCCCTTTTTACATAGGAAAAGGTCCCTTTTACTTTGACAAGTGCCCCTATTAATTGTTAAAAGTGCCCCTTCCCCTTTTAATAACTACCCCTTTTTAACTTGGATAAGTGCACCTTATATTTTCACATGTGCCCCCTTTCCTTTTAAAAAAGAGCCTTTTCGCTTCACATAAATGCCCCTTTTTATCTAAGAAAATAGTTCCTTTTCATTCTCATAAGTGCCTCTTTTCATCTCTTGTAAATTACCCTTTTATTTTGACACGTCTCCCTTTTCCTTCCTAATAAATGCTCTTTTTCCTTATAAGTGCCCCTTCCCCTTCTCATAATTACCACTTTTCGTCTTTGATAAGTGCCCCGTTTTTTTAACATGTGCCTCTTTTTCTTTTTAATAAGAGCCACTTCCCCTTCTCATTACCCTTTTAACAATGATATGTGCCCAATTTCCTTTCTAATAAAGAACCTATCCCTTTTTCATAAATGCCCCTTTTCACTTCTTATAAATGTCCCCTATCAAAATCTGATGGGTGCATCTTTTCCGTCGACAAATGCCCATCTCATTTTTATTCCTGATGCATGCCTCTATTTTTAGGTGTAAGAACTGCCCCATTTTCACGCCTGATAATTAGCCTTTGTAGTTTGACACGTGCTCCTTTTCTTTTCTAATAAGTGTCTTAACCCCTTTCCTCTCATCATTAACGTACCCCTAATTTCAAGCGACTAAAAGCAATTTCCCCCAAAGCTCGCTCGCTCGTAGTTATGGATGTTATCATTATGTAACTTATGAAAGATCTTTTCGGTCTTCCGTTATGAGAATGTGCTTATAACCTCAGGATTGGGTTTTTCTTCTTTATAAGATGTAATTTGTCGCACTGCAACCACACAAATCTTGAAACTTTTCCTCGCTCGCAAAAGAATTTTCAGACCATCACACCCAACTGCAAAGTATGATACGTATGCAATATCTTATTTGATGTATAAAGAAAACCATCATCCCCGATAATGTAATCACAATATAGGGGTATATACCAATGTCTAAAAATTGTATATATTCCCTTTGAAGGTGCCCTTTTTTGTTGTGCCCCCCCCCCCCCCCCCCCCCCCCATTTTGGAAGTCGCTCCGCCGCCTCTTGTATCATGCACCAAGCTTCAGCTGGAAATACTTTTTTAAATCAATAACAAAACCTTTACTTTTCAATAAGGAAATCCTAGGTGAGAAGATTGAAATTATATTTGGTGAAAATACAGGGGAACAATTGTAAATAGTTCATTTAAAAATAATAAGCAGTTGACAAAATCTATTTCATTTATGAGAAACCTTTACCCGAGAAGAACACCAACTGATTTATGCAATTTGCGTTCTGGAAATTGTGGTACAAAGGATATAGCAGGAGAATGAAACGCTTCATCACCACACACACATGGAAAGAAAGCATTCATAAATTCGAAAACATTTATTTGATAACCGACTACACATTGTACGTCACGTTATCAAGAAAATGGCGATGCCCATGTCGTGCTGAGAAACTGTACATTATTCTTGCTTTATGCCTCTCTCATACACTTTGGAGGGGAATCTTTTAAATTAATGGGCAAGAATATAATAAATCTCTCAGAATAATTAAAGTTATTTCTTGGGGTGAGGTTTCCTGAGAACAAATGGCATTTTACATATCAGAAATGACGATTGATCTCTATGACTCACGATCTGTAATAAATGTATTTATTCTAATTGCATTAATAATAAATTATAATCGACACATTTCTTCTTTCAAATTAACTAAACTATTTGCTAAGTTGGCTGAGTATTGAGTGGGTTATGGTGGACCCTACGTAATGATCTCATCTCATATGCATTCATGTATATCAACACTCTCACAGAATCCATTCTTCAAATACTCCAGTTGATCAACCTCAAGACGAACACACTAATTTTCTTCACTTTTCATGATCGCATCCAAAAATAATCTTTGCAATTAGGCATCGTTATCTGACATCCAGTATATCCTATAACTCAACCCTGATTTAATGAGCCAAAAAGTGAAGAAAATAATACGGGTACTATGACGAGAACTATTGAGAAGACGGCTGTAGACTAATGGGGATGTCACTATCACTAATTATCACTTCACATGCTGCTACACATCAGACAGTATCAATCACTATGACGTCATCACAATGAATGCTGACGTCACTACTCCTTTTCGTTCTCGCCGCGGTCAATATTATGAGAAAATAAATCGAACGAAATTCCTTGAAGTACACAGTTTGGTTCTATCAAACCTTGACATAATACTGGAAGCACCAACGGTCTACTGGTTCATGATTCATTGCAATCACAAGGATTTGGGTTCGAATCTTAGCCCGTCTGGTGAATGCGTTCTCAGATGGAGTATCTACTGTTCCCTCTCTCGATCGAAGTATAGTGAATGTTTTGAGTTATGTGATAGGTCGGTTAATGACATAGCTCATCATATAATCGTCATAATGTATATTACAATTATTGACGTAACTGAAAAGTATAACGGAAGTTTTAAATTGTATGAACATTATTTTAAATCTGGGTGATAGTGCACTTAGTGGTAAATTAACTTCAGCGAAGTGCTCTGTAGTGATTATTAACGGCATTATAGTCTACAAATAAGAGAGAATAATCAAAAATAGTTTATTCTTGACACTAAAAGGGATAGACTCATTATGGTAGGATTAGTTAGTAAATATAAAACATTCTAAAAAAAATATGGTTTAGATAACAATTCTATTCACCATTACAGGGAAGGGAGAACCTGCAGGGTGAGAAGGGGGTTGTAACTGAGAAGGGCTACCAAAGCGGGAGAAGGGAGTGGTAACTGAGAAGGGCTACCAAAGCGGGAGAAGGGAGTGGTAACTGAGAAGGGCTACCAAAGCGGGAGAAGGGAGTGGTAACTGAGAAGGG